GCAAGTGAACCACCAGTGATGATTTGCTTCCACTGAATGATCATCTAGATCACAGTGCCAATGGGGTCATAGGAATTGCGCCTACCTGATGAGCCCCAAGAACGGCAAAGCAGGTCGGCAGATGTCTACAACGTTTCAGCAACCATATGTGTGGTCCAGTTTACGTAGCTAATCCTGCTGTGCCATTAGTGAGGTATTTGAAATGGTATCGAACGTCTATAATAAGATAGGATTCTGGTTGCAACAGCCGTCGATCGTGAATGTGGAGAAATATTAACCGATCGAGACTGTTCTAGGAATTTTGAAATCAGTCAGGCATTATAGTTCGTTGATGATCCACCGAATTTATAAGTTAGTCATCCGTAGACGAAAGGTTCTGGGTTCTTTTCGGTTAACGAACCTCCGCCATTAGATCAAATCGTATGAAAACAGACGAAGCAGTAGAAGGCCTGTGCTTTTCATTGGACTTCCTCTGTACAGATTGGTTTTGTGAGTTTCAAAAGTATTGGAGGATTCTTGGAATCAACAATGGTATGGTATGGTTTTCGGACAGATGTGACACTGATGAAGTGATTTGCGTGTTTCTCCTTGATCAATTCTAAATACCGAAAGTACTAGCAGAATTTCTCCTCTACCGAAACAGTGTAGAAGAGCACAATATCGGTAGTCCAGAGGATCGAACCCTAGTGAGTCACACGACGCAATGGCTGGGCATCCGTCGCTTTTCAAGCAAAGTACTTGCATGAAAAATTGAACGAGTTTTGTAACAAAAAGGGCTAGGCACCTTGATAAAAAAGAGGGATATATAACGCTCTATAAGGAAAATGGCTGACAAAACATTGAAACCAAGATTCACAATCAAAGTAAGACAGAGGTTTTCACATAAACTGACTGGAGTTCACTAGTCGTGGGTATCAACTTGGTCTTATCGTTCTACAGTTTTTCCGCACCAATTGCTCCAGCTTTGCTTCGGTTGGGCATCGATTTGATTGATCCTCAAAATTGTGCGTATTCGAGTAACAAACCCAAAGATTCCAGCCAGATTTGCAGGCCCGATCATGCATCAATATACTCCTTAACAATGTTGAACACAAGGACCAGCCACAAACATGGAAACCCCACTTCACGACAGTCCTGTGTCACTTCCAACATCAATCGGTCGACTTTCCCTGTTGGTCATGTTAGGCTGGACTGAACTGAACTGAACTGACCTGAATTGAACTGAACTGAACTGAACTGAACTGAACTGAAGCTGTTGTCAAACTTGATATACATATATATATGCTTACTCCGTAAAACTTCGGATTGTTTAAAATTCCGATTTATCTACATCACTTTCCACCTAACATCAGTCGTCTTAATGAGAACGGATTATGTCAGAAAATAGCTCACCAAATGTTGAACTAATGAACACCGTGTTTCGGCATGAACGTCCGATTTAAGGTAAAGAACAAAAATGCTAGTGATTTGAGCACCACATTTTCCCCGGAAGTTCATTTGCTGGACGTTTAACTAAAATTAATTTTGAGACCGAGCCCCGCCTTACCTGACGCCGCGGGTGAATGTATTGGCTAGTAATGCGTGCATATTTTGGCACACGCTCGTTGCCAGGCATAAGGAGGTCAACTTACCTTCTGAATTGTGAAGCAGTGCGTCCGAAATTGACCGAATACTGCCTGGAAACAAATGAGCTCATCCCTCTTGGACAAGCCCTTTAAAGTTGGCCTATGGTTGTTTGAAACATCCACGACGATGTCACGAAACTTCTCCTTCACGATGTGGCCAAGCTGAAAGAAGCGAAAAGAATTGTAGTGGGAGGTAGTAAACAGACTATAGAAGTATTGTCACACATCTAATCGAAGCACGTTGGATTCAACAAACGGACGATAAATTATTGGACTGTTGACGATTACCTGTTCCCATGCATCCTCAATACCAATTCCCCAACACACAAATAGACTATTACTTAAAACGATCTTTTATCGTGCACTCAATACCTTTGTTGTGATCAGCTGGTTAAGAAAAATGAAAATACAAACCTGCAGTGCATGGTACAACCTTTTCCAAGCGATTTCTGTTTCTTCCTTGGATGCAGCCTCCATCAAGCGCCGAGACTTTGCAAACAATTGCGCATGGCAAAGGGGCTTTTTATCAACATCATTTGGCTGGAACCAAGAAAACAACTGAACAACACTTATTGGTAACAGGAACTCTGTCAATGCTGAATTAAGTAATAACTTCCTAGACTACTCCGTTTTAAGAAGAAGCTACATGAAATCACTCGGTTGCCAGGATAACGCACATTACTAACGGAATTCATTCTTCTGTATATAACTTTGGAATAGGTTGAACATCACTTATCTTTTCATGGATTTCGCTGAATATCTGGAACGGGGCCTTAACTATCCATTTATCTATCTATCAATCTGTCTATCCATCTACCTATCCATCGATCCTTTCATCTGTCTTTTGATCTGTCTATCCATCTACCTATCTATCTACCTCTCCATCTATCTGTCTAACTATCTATCTATCTACCTATCTATCTGTCTATCTATCTATCTATCTATCTATCTATCTATCTATCTATCTATCTATCTATCTATCTATCTATCTATCTATCTATCTATCTATCTATCTATCTATCTATCTATCTATCTATCTATCTATCTATCTATCTATCTATCTATCTATCTATCTATCTATCTATCTATCTATCTATCTATCTATCTATCTATCTATCTATCTATCTATCTATCTATCTATCTATCTATCTATCTATCTATCTATCTATCTATCTATCTATCTATCTATCTATCTATCTATCTATCTATCTATCTATCTATCTATCTATCTATCTATCTATCTATCTATCTATCTATCTATCTATCTTTCTATCTACCTATCTATCTATCTGTCAGTTCATTTTTCTATCTACCTGTCTAGATATTTGTAGCAAACCGCATACTGAGGCTTCTAGGATAAACATTCTTGGTCGCAGTAAATCTTATTTCGATTAAAGATATTTTAATTGAGTCTGTTGAGTCAGTTCTTAATTAGCAGTCTTCGTCGATACTAACTGGGATGGTAGGTAGTTGTGACACTGAACTGTCAACTTATTACACCCCCATTGGAAAGTGAAGTGGATATTTTTTCCCTACACATCTTTNTTCATTATCAACCAAGGGAGCGTCTTGTTCCATACAATGAAGAACCGGCTCACCATACGACCGTCACTTTACACCTTAGTCCTCAAGTGTTAGTAGTGAATTATACGGTTGATCAATCAACATCAGTTCCGAAACCATCTCACAAACATCAGTGTATAGCACTGATGTGCACAGAATAACTATTATTATCACCTAAGTTTGCTCGCTCAGATCCAAGAAACTCATCCTTCAGTCACGGAAATCCACGTCACTTGGCCACATATTGATCGGCTCCTCGAGTGTCAACTTCTCAGTTGGAAGTTTAGGTCATCGTGTAAATCTAATCTTCATCTGAGTTACTCGTAAGCGGTTCATAAAAATTCGACTTCCTTTTGTACCATAGCAGAAAAGCGTATGAATCATGAGGTACCCAAGCCATTGCTTATTTATCCGGATTGTGACACTGGCCAGACATGCAATTCTAGGTGTCTATACTAGCAAGATTCCTGAACTTCGCCTATGGAACCTGAAGTTCCTAATCAAGGATTTTCGGCATTGACCGCCACTTTTCACAGGTAATAAAACACAACTGTCATCTTGATAAATACACTCATTTTCATAACAGTTTGACCTTTCACAATTGACCCAAATGAACCTCTCCGTGGCGTGTTATGACTCACCATGTCACCGTATTTCATCACGTGACTAAACACCGCCTTTGGTTTCACTTCCTCGTATTGTTCGTTCAGTGTTATCTTTTTTATGTTTTCCTGCGTGCGGGTGGGAGATAATTACAAACGGGAGCTATAAGAGGCAAGCACATCAGCGTACGGAATTTTACGACGAATCTGCTTTAGGCAAAATATTGAAAGTACGACTAGAGTTACGACAACCGAGGTATGCAATGACACATACTGCAGGTAAATTATTGAGCACTCCTCTGCCCCTGGACACCATACATGCACATACAAAACATTTTAAGGAGTTGATGCTCTGTGGTTCTGATCACCATCATCATCATCATCATTGTCATCATCATCGAGAGCAACAACGGGGGAAAGTACTAAGGATTCACTGCCGTACAAGCATCATAAATTATTTGTGGTGTGAAATGAAAGGATAATAGGATAATAATAATAATAGGATAATATAACTTAGAGCTGGCCTACAGCATACACCAGAGATACCTGCACATCCGAGACCAAGTCAGACAATCTGGATAGAAACTGACAGCATGAACGCCACTGGCATTTTGATTCATTTCGACAGATATATTGAGACGAAGGCGTGCAGAAGATGTACCAGCATCGTAATCATTGTTATCGTCATCAGCATCGTTATCATGGTCATCATCATCAACGTCATCACCGTCAACGTCCGTATTAAATATTGACCCTTCCCTACATGCACTTAATATCCATTCAAAGCCCTACTGGAATCAAAATATATTGAAGAAAGAATTGTTGTTGGCCTACTACAACATTCATATGCGCCTATAGCTCCGGACAATAAATCGGGCGATCTGAACCGAAAAAGATAACCAGAAATCCAATAACATCGATTCCAGGACAGTCACGGTGGGAAACAGATGGTTTCTATCGTAGAGTGCGAATTAAACTGACAGCACCCAGACTTTTGCTGGTCTCTTTCATATCCCTCTGCAAGAGCAGAGACGAACCTGATTAAGAGGATAGTGAGAAATTTGGGACATGCAATGCCTGAATTGCCATAAATGCTCTTCATGCTTGAAAACAAAAAAAATGGTTTTGGACTACCACTGGCTGCTGAATATTACCGGATTACCCATCCACAACTGACAGGCTTATCTGCAACAGTTCTGTTAAAACTTACGTATTCCGAATCTAAAACCCAGGCATACGAGTATTCGTTCGCTAGACAAACATCGATGTCCTTGTCAAAACAAAAAATGCCGAAGGATTGTTCATTTTCCTTGGCTGACGTTGTCACGAAGACTGCAGGTTTAGGGGTTCAGGCAACAGAACAGATAGTATGGGTCAATATTAAAGATGTGTGACATAGTGAGGTAAATTATCGACGAACGGATCCTGTGACTCACAGAAATAATATGTCTGCAAGACGTCCAGAACAAGCACACTACTCAGACAGAACATAATGGTTTTCGTGCTTCTTGCAGCGAATCTTGTAGACACAGTCCTTGACTCTCTTGAATAATAATCAAGACTTTAACCACTTGCTGGGCGGAACTTGCCAAACACTCTCGTAAACGAGACGCTTATCTGGGTTTGCCTGTGTGAGCCCGTCAAAATCAAATAAGTGTGTGTATGTATAATCTGTTTTTACGGTAAAACCATCTGCAAATCACCCCTGAAGAGAACGATTAAAAGTAGACGCGCAACAAGCATTAAACATGTTTTTGGTTCGTTGAAGTGTAGTTTTTACAAAAGACCCACGATCCATTTAAATTTGCAATGAATTTGGAGGTTGCTTCATAGGGACACCAAAATATCACAGGGGTTGTACCGGTTACACAATAATTTTCACCACCCATAAGAAACTGGTTCGGCAGCGGAAGCGACATTAATCAATGAAGGCTGGATTTTGTGCTATCATCGGCTAAACGCCTATTGCGTAGAGACATGGGGCTCTTTCCATACTAAAATCGCAAATTGAACAATAATAAACCAAGCTGGCTTGTTTCCCAAGATTCATTCTGCTCTAACGGTCAACGCCGCTATTTCACATGATCCATGCAATAGTTTGCCAGAAAGTTACGCTACTTACTTCCCATCTCGAAACATAGAGCCGGAGTAGCAAGCATCCACATACAGCACCAATCTGTTGAAAATTTTTTTTGAATGCATGTAGGCGATGGTATCGTTTAACTCCATGGCATACATCTATCGCAAGAAAAAAAGAAAAATTCTCGTGAGATCGAGATGAGTCACTCGATGAGTCAGTTACCGGTGATACGGATCCCTTGGTTGAAGAATGAGCCACGTTACGTCCTTACTTAGTGCGGATAAATCAGGCAGTTTGGTAGTCGATTGTGACCGAATAGTTACACGTTGCATGTATCAAGCGCACCTCTGATGATTCTAAATAAGGATGGAACAGTTGTACAGTGCTTCTCAGCTGTTCATCACAGACTGGTTTCTCATACAGAAATACGAAAGCATTTTCATACTACTAAACTTTCGCCCTGTCCACATGGAAGCAAACTGGTGTGTATGGATCACTTGACTGTAGAATGGGTGGCGTTATGTTCTGACTTAGTGCGGATAAATCAGGCTGTTGGTTGGTCGCTCGTGGCTGAACGGTTACACGTTCCATTTATCAAGCGCACCACTGATGATTTTTCACCAAGGATGGGACAGTTGTACATTGGTTCTCAGGTTTTCATCACAGACTGGTTTATCATACATAAATGCAAATAATTCATACTATTAAACATTCGTGCCATCTCCCTCTAAGCGAAAAGCAGTATGTTGTCTCGTCATGAAGGATTCCGATGACGCATTCTTTGTATCATCTACGCCTCATGAGTTACCGTATAAAAACGCATCCTTGGTTTATGGTATCTGCGTTTGCTAAGCCGTCTGCGTGAACCGACCGCGAAATCATGTGAGTCGAACGACCTTAAAATTCGTAAAACAAATTTTGTGACGGTGTCATCTGAAGCACCTTGATAAGGCCTATCAAACTTGAACTCCTAGAAATGTCACTCTTGTGATTGACGTAAGAACATCGTAGCTTGTGTTCCATTTTTCGGTTGATGTGTAGAACAGCTTGACTGTAAGCCTGTTTTTATAAAGAATTAGACATTTCATCGCACCAGCATGTTTACGCAAACGTTTTCAACCCGTTCACTATTTAACTATCAATTATTAAATTACGTGCTGAAACCGTGGTTACCAAAATTAACTAAACTTACATATTCTTCTAGGAAGGCAATAAGGGAAGTCCCACCATGGCCGGAGTAGAAGATGAACACGTAGTCATTAGGACCGCTGTTAGTGAACAGAAAGGTTAAGGGAGGTCCTTAAGAGTAGCTTATTGGCTGGCGCTCCCACAGATAAGAAAACACAACAAACAACCCGCGGAAATGGAAGCATTTCTAACACTTATTTCAGAATATTGTTCTGTACAGGATGCTGGGTATAAACAGTAGCTGAATAAAATTCCAGTAATCTGCTATTTGCGTGGCCACGTGAATACGGGAATGAAAATACGATTCTTTTTACGTCTGTTGGTTGACTCCTATGGCTTTTGATGCATAGCGATTGTTGGAAGCAGTTTTTCACTTTAGGTAGTCTAATCGTGTTGTCGTTGGCGTTCACACTCAGCTCTTTCGGAAAGACGCTCTTGTTAGCATGATTACATGTTTAATGAAATATCTACACAATATATAAACTACTGCTGAAATAGATTATAACAAAGGTGATCCTACATTTTGAACACGGATGTCCTAAAGTGATCTGGAAATCTTCCTTTGCTGATCGTTGATCAAGCGCGCGTTCATCTGTTCTCTGTTCGCAGTGATCAGCTCGCGAATGTTTCATCACTAACTGAAGTGAAATCATGAGTGAGTGGTTGATATTTTCTGATATTATACGGCCATATTTGGCTGAGGGGACCATACATTTCTCGGGGTCGAAATGGTCGATTTCGATCTGTGCTGCGTTGTGACTGGTATCGCCTGAATTCGATTGATGCTTTAAGTAGTTTCTGTCTGAAGACCATTTGTTCATGATCTGAATGATCGGTTACCGCTTTCCAATGTGTTGCAATCTGGCTTTCCATATTCCACTGGCTTTTACTCCGATCTGGTTTCTGTAGTACATTTTGATTGTTTTTTCTGAATTGCTGTTGTGCTCTAGCCTGAGATTTCGGAGTTCGTTTTGACTAATGCCCTTCCAGTTAATAAAACTGGTTTATTGTTATTGGTTTATCACCTTTGATCACCTATTCTATAGACAATTCCGCTCCCCTTCTCTATCTCAACTAACTACGGGCGGGATCGGAAAAACTGAATTTGTTCAATTTAGTATTTGGAAAAGCTTTTAACCAAATTTCTGTTCATTTATCTATTAGATCGGTCAACGAGTATGCTCAAAGCAGAAAAGCCAACCAGAGGGTGCAAAAATTGACGGAAAAAGATAACATCGATCCCACCTAAGATAAAGTTTTGTCCAACGCTGGACAAGTTTCAAAATAAAAACGTTTAAACTCATAATATGTCCAGTAAAAGAAATATCTCTTTTGAATATGCCCAACAAACTATTTTGTCTGAAAATGTAGTTTCGTAGAAAACTAGTCTGCTGTAACAGGATATAATGTCCGCGACAGGCAGCGGAAACTGCATACTCTAGGCGACAGCAAATAAAATGGTACAGGTCTATTACCACTTGGCAGGTGAGTTCAGTAATTAGTGTTTGTCAAACTGAGTGCTTTGGAAGGGTGAATGCAGGAACTTCCTACTCCAAGCTATTGTGGGGAATGGCGAAACTTCAGACAAAATATCTATATGAACCGCTACCAAACCACTGCCTTGGAATGGCGACCGAACAGACAACGAGGCACTATGTTTTTGGAAGCAACGCTGAATGACGGCAGAGCAGCAACTAACACGTGGCCCTTGAAGGAGGCCCAACAATCAGTGTTCACAAAACTTTTAAAACGAGGGGGTTTCTGTCAAACTGCGGATTAAAAAGATTGGTTTACTAGAGCCAGGAATATGTACAGAAACGTCCATTGCTGGTACCCGTACGAAACACCGATAAATGGTTAAACACGCACAAAGAGCGTATGATTACGGGATTTGTCGCAAACTCAAATCCAAACTGTTTATAAATGACCGGATGAGAGACTTATGGTTTGCGATTGAATAAAGATTTGCCTCGTTTCTTGCCTTGTTTCTGTATGCCGACGCTTCCCTTCTCGCCATGTGCGGGTCAAGAAGGCGTGGAAATAATTTCGAAAGAACTACTTTGACGTTACTCAACCACACAGAATCTAAGTTGAAACAGGTGTTCTAAATCTGAGGCTATTATCAGTGGATGTCGATACGGATTTGGGGGCAGACATAAGTCGAGAGGGCTGCTAATGGGCGGGGATTTAGATTATTCAATCAACAGTGTTTATTTGCGTTGTACAGCAGCGTGAGTAAAAACAACTCCTGAACCCGAGCAAACCAAAATCGACCGCCGAAGCCTTGTACAAGACCAAGCAGATATTTGACCACTCACAACTGCGCATATCTGAATATTCCCGAAACTTGTTAACAGTGGCGAGTGATGCCCACGATTTAATAATAACCAAACGTCAGAAATGGATAAACCGGGTTTCCAATGAAGTGAAGCTTACCCGAACAGATTATGTACCAAGTTACTTACGAGAATACTAAACACGCATATTTCGTAAAAGACGGCGACCTGAAAACTAGAATTCTTGCTGTGATAAGCAGGTGCATTAACAATATCCACTTCCGCGCCAACTCACCTTTTCAGCACCTTCTTCTTGTTGGCTTCAAGTTCCATACCCCCTCCAATACTTTCAAGAAGTTATCCCGTGTGACATCCTAAAACGAATGAACATGCATGACCAATTGTTCGTGTGACAATGCTGTTCTTCACCCTCAGCCTATTCACAGCAACCATCATTTTGGCGTCCATTTCCTGCCCGCCAACTTCACTAATATTTTATTCGGGATGATCGCGGTGTGCTGAAAATGCAACATAGGTGAGAAATAGCCGCTATCTTGATATGAGTATCACTCATCAGCACTCAAATGAATCAAAGTTGAGCTTCTCTTCTCTATGATATTCTTAAGCTGAATGTGCTGTCCTGTACACGCTGCTTGGTTGGTGCATCCCTCGGGATATCACAGGAGATTTCTCCGAAAAACCTATTCGGGCACCGTTGATCTTGGTGCACATTTCGTTGTTCTTTTGACAAGAACGCTAACCTACCTGATAGGCCAAAATCGGATGGCTGAACTCGGTCATGGGCTGCAGTTCTGTATGACCTAATGTCTGGTGTTCGTCCAAGTGGATCGACCCTTCTCTAATATAGTAAAACTGATAATTCTGCCCTACGATTCATATTGTGCTTTGATCCACAGTGTCATTTTAATTGCACCTTGTGTGACACGGTAAACTGATGCAGGAATTCACTTGATTGCTGCGCACCCGAACACAGACTTACTTTTCCACGGTAGTCAATCACCATACCCTTGTAGACATCCTCGTGCTCGTAGTCATGGAACACTTTGCCTTGAAACGGGTTTCTGGAATAAAAGAATGAAAAGTAACAGTGAGTCTTGTGCCTCCCGACCACATCTATCTGGGCTTGGGAAACCTGGCACTATTAAAGGCCTTGTGCATACTTCGTGAGTCATGGCAGCTAGGCGCCCTGTAGTTGCTACAGCCGAACGACTGCGATAAACGACTTACGAGTGTTAACCTCTCCACGCAGGTACTATCTTTCAATAATTTAAGAAGCTCTTTTCTCCCCTCCGGCTGCATTACAAATTGTTTAGCCTACTAGATTGTCTGCTTACTATTTGCTCCAAAACATCAGCCGGCTGGTGCATTCAAACGACATACATATATCAGTGGGTTATATTTCAGGCTACGGAAACGACTACTCAAAAGAGTTCATACCGGTGTCATTCTCCCCCCATCATGATCGTTATCAAAATGTGCCGCATCATGGGTTTTATGGGGTCTACACTCAAGAAAAGGCATCAACCAAAAGAAAAACTATTAAGACATCTGAGGTGATAAATGAAACCAAATAATTTTCTGCAACTCAAATTCTACAATTATATACATAAGATATACTGAACAACAATGAGACGTGTTGAGGCCAAAAACCGAAGTGCGTTTTATATACTCTATTCACTAGCATATAGCGAAAATTTTACGCGATATTTACTTGGGATTAGTCGCAATATCGTCGTAGGCGAAGGTGATTATATTCTTGGCTGGAACTTTATGTTTGCGCACGACTTGATACGCGTGGTAAACGTCCGCCTGAATGAGAAAATAAATGACATGTGAATTTAGGATAACAGGCAGATTGAGGCATGGAGAACAAAGATAGCAATCAGAATGTGTAAAATAATCCATACTTGGTGGAGTATCAGTTATCCCAACAGTATTTGGATGCATCATCCCAAGAACGCGAAGGGCTTGTTTGGAACACAGTTCCACAGTCAGTCAAATGTCAGAACAACGACCCGCTCACCGCAGCTGTGCAATGATGATATCTCTTGACTTCGAAAATACGCCCGAATCTGTCGTTCGCTTGTGTACTAGCTAAACAGTCACATTACGAATATACTTAGTAGCAATATATTATTACCCGCTAAACCTGAAAAAAGAATAAAGTGCGGCTTGCGGACGAACGAATTTGACCGAGATGGATTTCTATATGTTTATTCCAAATAAACGCCACTTAATCTCACGAAGTAGTATAGCTTTATCCGCTCACACTGCCTAGCAATGCCCGTGCTTTGGCCGTAACAGTCATTATTCTTGGTATATCAGTTGTCTTTGTTGAAGTTTGTGAGACCTGGTTCATACAAAAGGTCATTCTAAGAGCCCGGGAGCGTTTCTCTAATATAGCGAAGTAACAATATCAGGTCAGATGATTAGTGGTGGCTGGTAAACCATTGCATTTGTGTTTTGTACAACACCATGCCTTCCACACACAAGCCGTGATTTTTCGTCACATAGCGCAACAATACGAACTTATGGGTGACGGAATTCGGATTTCGATTATTGTGAACCAAACTATGCGCCCCAGTAAAATCTGAGTTTATTAGGAACGTAGAATCGACCCCACACAAAACGCAA